GAGTCTGAGTAAGGGCAGGGTGGGCTGCTGATCTGCTCAGAGTTATGAGTAAGGCTGAGGATTTGTCACACACCAGGCCCATGACCAGTGCTATAGACATGCCTTTCTCACAGCCTGCACAGAAATCCACGGAGATGAGGACAGCCCCGTTGGCCTCAACTGTGCTAGGAAATTCAAGGACCAGGAAGAGATTCAAATGCCCAAAGGAAAAAAATCATGTTCTATAGACAATCTGTCTGAAGCTAAGGAAGAAGGCAAACCAGCCCAGGGGACCTCTGGGCATCTGGCCAGTGGCAGAGGGCATCTGATCTGGAAAGAAAGCCCTGAAAACATTCTTCCTTGTGTGTGGCCAGGGACCAGTTCCAAGCCAACGTCTCCTCACAGAACGTCCTAAGACTCCAAACATAATAGAATCTTGCTAAAGGCAGTAATGGATTCACCTGATTACACAGTCCCTTCCAGGCAGAAGTGTCTCTTGATTGCTTGAGACAACCAGACCCCACTTTCCTCTCTGAACTTCTCCAGGTCCAAACAGGGATTTCTTTAGTATCCTCATGTCATGGTTATATGTAACCAGCTAGCTACATTTTTTTTCCTATATGGGTTTGGACTTATGTTTTAGTCTGAAGTTCTTGCTCAGAGCTTGCAGGCTGTTAGATATACTGAAACTCTGATCTTCATCCTCACTCTAAGTCTCGCCCTGCAGCTAGAGGAACCTGGAGACAGAGCGGGGGGTTCTGGGTCATGCCCCAGAAGACCCAAGATTTAGGTCAAGTTTCCCAATGATCAGAGAAGCTGCTGTGCTCACACCCTTTGTTCCTCTGGTCTGAAGTCTGCCAGTTGCTAAGGAGATGGCAGCAATGTTCTCCTACCCTCTGACTTCCATGGATTCTCCCATCAGCCCTATATGGCAGAATGGGCCACAATGAACCCCAATATCCACCCCAGCTTGAAACAAGGCTCTTCCCATCTTCTGCTGGGAAGTTCTAGGATCAGAAACATGTCCCTTCATCAGACCTGAAAGGCTTCCTCCTTTCATTGACGTTGATCTTCTTTTTGACATGTGTGCTTCCAACTAAAAGAATGGTGTAAATTAAACTGGGCCATGGGAGTATGCCTCAGGCCTTCCCCAGGAGTAAGATCTCTAAGGATGAGCTGGTTAAGATAGGTGGCTTATCAACAAAAGACATTGATTTCTCACAGTTCTGGAGGCTGGGAAGTCCAAGACCATGGTGCAAACAGATTCAGTGTTTGGTGAGGGTCTGTTTTTTCACTGTAACTTTACATGATGGAAGGGACAAAAGATCTCTCCGGAGCTTCTTTGGTAAGGGCACAGATTCCATTCAAGAAGGCATCTCCTTTACAACCTAATCATCCCAAATACAGTCAAAACAGTAATCAAAATAGTGTGGAACTAGCATAAAAATAGACACAAACCAATGGAACAGAATGAAGAGCCCAGCTAAGCCCAAATACATTCAGTAAACTAACAACTGACAATGTTGCCAAGGAATACACAATAGGAAATCTATGATGCATTTAATAAATAGTGTTGAGCAATCCTAATCCTGGGCATATAACCATCTGTAAGTCTGGGGTTAGCATATGCAAATTATTATATATGGAATGAATAACCAACAGAGTCCTACTGTGTAGCACAGGGAACTGTATTTTATATCCTGAGATTAAACCATATGGAAAAGAATTTGTTTAAAGAATGTAACAATCACTTTGTTATATAGCAAAATTAACATAACATTGTAAATCAACTATACTTCTATAAAAAATAAGATGGTGTTGGGAAAATTGGATAGCCACATGCAAAGGATGAAATTGGACCCTTACCTTACAGTATACAGAGTGATTAACTCAAAATGTATTAAAGACTTAAATGTAAGACCTGAAAGCATAAACTCCTAGAATAAAACATGAGGAAATAACTCCATGATATTGGTCTTGGCAATTATGTTTTTAACATGAAATCTAAAGCACACACAGCAAAAAAAAAAAAAAAAAATAAGTAGGACTACATCAAACTAAAGAGTTTCTGTAGAGCAAAAGAAGCTATCAACAAAATGAAAAGGCAACCTATGCGGTTACAAATCATATATCTACAAGGTATTAATATCCAAAATATACAAAGAAGCTCACACAACTTGACAGCAAATTTTAAAAAGCTAATTAAAAATAGGCAAAGGACCTGAATAGACAATTTTCTACAGAAGACATACAAATGACCAATGGGCAGATAAGTTTCTCAACATTGCTAGTCATCAGGGAAATGCAAACCAAAGTCCAAGGACAGGTTTCCCTGGTGGCTCAGTGGTAAACACAGGAGACTGGTACACCACAACCATCAAGCCTGCGCTGTAGCGCCCAGGAGCTGCAACCTCGGGGTGCGTGTGCCACAACCACTGAAGCCTGAACACTCTAGAGCCTACGCTCCACACAAGAGAAGCCACTGCAACGAGAAGCCCGTGTACCATGACTAGAGAGTAGCCCACGCGCCCTGCAACTAGAGAAAAGACTCCCACAGCAATGAAGACCCAGCACAGCCAAATAAAAAAATAAAAAATTTTTTAAAATCCAATGATATATATTTTCACACCTGTTGGATGTTTATTATAAAAAAAAAAAACAAGAGATAGCAAATATTAGCAAAGATGTAGAGAAAAAGGAACATTTGAGCACCACTGATAGAGCCTCTATGGACAACACTACAGAGGTTCTTCAAAAAAACAAAATTAGAACTGCAATGTGATTCAGCAATTCCATTTCTCAGTACATATTCAAAGTAAATTGAAATGATACCTCAGAATCATCTGCACACTTACATTCATTACTAATAATAATCAAGATATAGACACTACCTCAGTGACCAGCAACACTAAATGGATAGAGAAAATGTACATACATACTACCCAGTATGCACATACATACTGAATGCTATTCAGCCATAAAAAGGAAGGAAATCATACCACTTGTGACAACATAGATAAACCTAGAGAACATCACACTGAGTGAAAAAAAGCTCAACATAGACAAATACCATTTGATCTCGCTTAAATGCAAAATCTCAAAGAACACAAATTGAGAAAACCAGAAAGTAAAATGGCAGTTTCCAGGTGTCTGGAGGGGAGACATGTTGCTCAAAGGGAACAAACTCCCAACCACAAGATGAAGAAGTACTGGGGATCTAAGGTACAGCATGGTGACTCTAGGTAATAACACTATATTGAATATTTAAAATTTGCTGCAAGACTAAATCTTAAATATTCTCACCTCACACACACAAAATGGTAAATATCTGAGGTGAGAGATGTGTTAATTAACCTGATTGTGCTAATCATTTTGCAATGTACATACTTAAAATCATCACATTTTACTCCTTTAAATACATGCAATTTTTCTCATTAATTATACCTCAATAAAACTGGTGAGGAAAAAGTCATGCAGAATGGTTGGAAGAAACAGATATGTACATTACCTTGAATGTGATGATGGTTTCACATTCAAGTATGTATGTGTCAAAATTTATCAAACTGTACACTTTAATATCTGCAGTTTTGTCATCTTTGTCATCTCCACTTCAATAAAGATGTTTTTTAAAATAGTGACAACTGTTTTAAAATGATCTTAATAAAACATTGCACAGGTTTTTTAATTTTATGAAGTTTAAAATGACACAAAATATCTATGCACATATCACTTATCATGATGCATATATCATGTGAAATGCCAGGCTGGATGAAGCACAAGCTGGAATCAAGATTGCCAGCAGAAATATCAACAACCTCAGATATGCAGATGACAACACCCATATGGCAGAAAGCAAAAAACTAAAGAGCCTCTTGATGAAAGTGAAAGAGGAGAGTGAAAAAGTTGCCTTAAAACTCATCATTCAGGAAACTAAGGTCATAGCATCCAGTCCTATCACTTCATGGCAAATAGATGGGGGAACAATGGAAACAGTGAGAGACTTTATTTTAGGGGGTTCCAAACTCACTGCAGATGGTGACTGCAGCTATGAAATTAAAAGAGCTTGCTCCTTGGAAGAAAAGCTATGACAAACCCAGACAGCACGTTAAAAAGCAGAGACATTACTTTGTCAACAAAGGTCCATCTAGTCAAAGCTATGGTTTTTCCAGTAGTCATGTATGGATGTGAGAGTTGGACCATAAAGAAAGCTGAGCACCGAAGAATTGATGCTTTTAAACTGTGGTGTTGGAGAAGACTCTTGAGAGTCCATTTGACAGCAAGGAGATCCAACCAGTCCATCCTAAAGGAAATCAGTTCTGAATTCACTGAAAGGACTGATGCTGAAGCTGAAGCTTCAAAACTTTGGCCACCTGATTCGAAGAACTGACTCACTGGAAAAGACCCTGATGCTGGGAAAAATTGAAGGCAGGAGGAGAAGGGGACAACAGAGAATGAGATGATTGAATGCCATCACCGACTCAATGGACATGAGTTTGAGCATGCTTCGGGAGTTGGTGATGCACAGGGAAGCCTGGCATTCTGCAGTGCATGGGGTCGCAAAGAGTTGGACGCATCTGAGCGACTGAATTGAACTGATATCACCATACAAAAGCAGAATACAAAAAAAAAAAGCAGAATACATAAATACGGGTATATCATGTCTGTAACTATACAAGATAAAATATTAAACAAAAAACTAGACATAAAATCAACTTTCTTGAGAAACACACAGGTTGTGATTGAAGAGGTGGGGCTCAAGTATAACATCTTTCCTTGTAATTCTCAATATTTTATGAATTTTCTAAAATTGCATTTCTGTTGTAACATAAAAGTCAAACAATTAACTTTATTTAAAATAAATAAAAAGAAAAGAAATTTTTTAAAAACAGGTCTCTGTTAGTCTTTTGGAAAACCCAGGTTTTCCAAGGGGGTGAGCAGTGCCTTTGCCAACAGCAAAAGCTGTCAAACAGGACAGGGCTGGCTGTTTTTCCCTTCATATAAGCATTGCCAGCTCAGCTGCCTCAGGGGAGGTCAGTGTAGCGTATCTACCTGGAGCAGATCATCCCCAGACCTGAGAGGTTTGTGCTGAATGGCATGCTCATCTTTCCCTCTCTGCTCTAGGACAGCGTGCATCAGACCCTGCCAGGAGCCTCCTCAACAAGAAAGTGCCAGTCATGAAGTCTCCCTTCACTGTGTTCGTGTTTCTCATCTTTTGGGATACAACACTAGCAGGTAAAATGGGAATCTTCCTGGGAGAATCCTTGTCTAGAAGAGCAATTGCACTATGCAAACCTATGAATGTCCTCCCACCATAAACTCTTTTATTTTTGAAGTAGAAAAAGCATCAACCATCTTTGATGTCAGCAAGGCCTGACCTTGAATCTTGGCTCTCCAAACTGCAGCTGTACAGTCTGAGGCAAAAGTCTGTGCATCTCTGAAATGTAATTTCTTCATTTACCAAATGGAAATAATAGTAACTTCAGAGTCTTGCAAGGATTAAATAAAATAATGTATAGAATATGCCTATACATATGTACAGTTCCTGACTTATGAGAGTTATCATTATATTTTTATTAGTAATACTACATTTTGTTTTGCTATGATTGTTGTATCTCTACTCAGGAACATGCCTAGGAATAGTAGTCAACACCAGCGAGTAGTAATAACATAATTTTTAAAGCTTTCTAATATACTCAAATTACTCACAGTTAACTTATTTGTAGATCCCTCAGGTACACAGGGAAACAGATCAGGAACTGCCTTTAATCCAAGAGATTTGATGTGACATCAGAAATATCTCATTAGATGAGGTAGCCGCTGGAGAAACGTGAGGGAGAACACCACCTGGCCTCATACTCTAGTTTGACCACATCCATTACTGACTTTTTAAATCTCATCTTGAGAATTCTCTTCATTTAGTGTTACTGAAGCAGTTCACATCCATATGTTGAAGGGCCCTACTTAATTTCTCAATCTCTCATGTATTCTCTAGGCAGATGAACCAGATGTTCAGATCATGTGACTCAACAAGCTGGATTTAAGAATCTATAGAATCCAGACCTCTAGAAGCTCTACAGGCCATTACAATTCCACTATGGTTCATGGCAATGAATCCATGGGCTCTAGACAGTGAACAACCGCACAGAGTCTACAATATTGCCTTCAGTGCTGTATACATGCCCATAGCTTATTATTTTCATAGGAACTTCTTGTTTCTTTATAGAGATCATTACACGTTTCACATATAGACCATTATACTTCACATCTTCTTAGGCATCCATCTTGCTAACCTAGTAACCCTGACCTCCTCCTTTTTTCCTGTGTATGTTAGCCACTTAGTCATGTCTGACTCTTTGCAACACCATGGACTACAGCCTGCCAGGCTCCTCTGTCCCTGGGATTTTCCAGGCAAGAATACTGGAGTGGGTTGCCATTCCCTTCCCCAGGGGCATCTTCCTGACCCAGAGATCGAACCTGGGTCTCCTACATTGGCAGGAGAATTCTGTATGGTCTGAGCCACCAGGTAAGCTATAGACAAAATAAATGGGGTAAACGCTCACTCAAAATTTCCACAGATGGCCAAATTTTAGCATTCTTTCTCCTTTCAACACTCTCTTATATATGAAAAGAAACATTCATATTCTGATGATTCTGTAGAGTTACATGGCCACTAAACTGTAGGCCCAGCTCAAATACCTTAGGCTCCAATAATACATCCCATCCTCAGAATTGCTTCCATCCTCCTCTGAACTCACACCACCACTCCATGTTGCATATATCTCACTGGACTTGTCATATTTTCTTCTCATGCATCTTTTGTGCTTCCTTTTTTGCCAAGACCAAAAATTCTTGGTGGTATCATACTCAAATCCGTACCTAAACAGTACCTGGATTTATAAAAAACTGGCTTGAATGAACAAATAATTAAATATTTTGTTAATAACTACATACATTGGTAACTTGTTTATAGAATTTATTATTCAACCAATTTGGGCAAAGTTCCAAGTTATTAATTGTCTCAGTCAGTTCAGGCTACCATAGCAAAATATCATGCATGGCAAGACCTAAACAAAATTTATTTTCTCACAGTTCCAGAGGCTGGAAAGTCCACGGGCAACTGCAGACCAATTCAGTTTCTGATAAGAGTTACCTTCCTAGCTTGCAGACGGCCATCTTCTTTCTGTGTTTTCTGTCAAAAAGGCCACCAATTCTATTGCACCAGGCCCTCCCTCTTACAACCTCATCTAACTTTACTGTCACCTCTAAAGTCCCTGTCTCCAAGAACAGTCACATTGGGGATTATGGTTTCAATATATGAACCTGGGGAGGACACAGTTCAATCCATAGCTTTTTAAATTTTTTCAATTATAGTATCAGAGTATGAACAAGTCTCTTGGAATCCACTTTGACAAAAATGGAAGGACTAGTAATTGTATAGTACAGAAAGGTCTGTAATGAATCATCTTTCCATTCATTTTCTTTCCAGGCTTGAATCCATTATCATCAGAATTATACAGAAGATGTTATAAAAATGGTACCTGCAGACTTGAGTGCTTTGGAAGTGAAATGTTAGTTGCCTACTGTATGTTTCAGCTGGAGTGCTGTCTCAAAGGAAACCCTGAGCCCTGACCTAAGAAGCCAGTAAATACCAATTAACTTAACAGAGAATTTAAACTGAACTCTGACACTGTGATGTGCCCACAGTTGTTGGTTTTCAGCTTTTTAATAAGTCATCAGAACATCGAAATCTTATAATCTTAGATTTGAAAAGCTGAGCTGATGTCTTCCTAAACACAGTTAAAGTTCTCATGAAAATAGGTTATAATATATTTTTTCTTGCTTCAAAGTGATATTCACACTCTCCTCAGTGCCTATTTTTATCTTTACTCATAGAAAGGTTGTCTACATTATTTATAGAGGCCCAAAAACTGTAGAAACATCTTTTTTACACCTAGGCTTTACCCTACCATACATTCAGTTCCCTGTTCACTTTTTCTTTGAGCCTCTCATCTGTAGAGGAACAGACCTGCTCCAGCCTCTAATGACTTTGTATATCTCTCACATGGACCACTTTGATTTCACTTAAGGCTGCAACGAGTCTTGACTGGGTCTGACCCTGCAGGTCTTGAAACACAAGGGCAAAAGCTATGTTACAATAGGCTGTAACAAAGCAGGTTCTCATCCACCTCCCTGGTTTCAGAGAATGAAATCATGTGACTTTCCACCTCAACCCCCTTGGGTTCAGCTATCAGACCATTTGGCCATGGTTCAGAGTTGGCTTCTCCACAGCCGAGTGGCTCACCACCTCTGCCATCCACCATCTGGCCACTCTGGGGAAGCGCCACCCTGTAAGACTAACAGCTAACACACCTGCTGGTCTTGCTTTGCTGTGTATAAGTAATAAATTCTCCCACTAGAATTCATGGTTTTGTTTACCAGTGAACCTTACAAAAGTACGACAGGCAGGGACTTCCCTGGCAGTCCAGTGATTAACTCTGCGCTTCCACTGCAGGGTTGATGGCTCAATTCCTGGTCAGGGAAATTAAGATCCCACATGCCCTGCAGTGTGGTCAAAAAAGAAAAAGAAAACAAAAGGAAAAAAAGTGTGACAAGCAAACCTAGCAACTTCCGTCAGGGTACTTACTGGTTGTCCCACTGACTACTGTGGTGCTGCTGGACATCTGCCTCACTGCTCAACATCACCAACCTGTGAACAGATGCACCAATGAGTTCTGCACATGCTGCTCGAGATAAGCGGTGCAGCGGTGGGAGGGGACAGATTCTGGGTGTGCAGCAACCGTCTTCAGCTTCACTGCTGACTTCAGCTCAGACTCTCTCGTGATTCTGAGAGGACAGGGCTCTAACTGCCCAGAGTCAATCACTGACCTAGAATAGGACTGAGAAAATGGTGCCCAAGGCCTGGCCTGAATGACAGCTCTGCCTGTCCAGCTCCTCACTGATACTGAGAAAAGACAGAAGGAGAAGAGTGGTTGATATGAATAAAGGGTTGTAAGAGGTTCCACATTCCCAGACACTATCCAACCTTTGGTAAAATCCAGTGTTGGTGTCTTTAGCAGGGAAGATACTAAAAATCCTCTTCTCAGAGGCCCAAATTCTCCTGTGGAGTCATTAGGAAACAGGGGATTAAAAGGGATGGGATTAGACATGACCTGGAGAGATAACCATGGTTCAGTATCCAGAGTAAGGAAGGCATCCAGACAGGACCCAAGAAAACTCTCAGACTCTGAAGGACGCAGGGGATCCTTATATGAGCACACTGACTCCTCTGGAAATGTCCTCAAAATACTCCACAATCCTTAGGCTTGCTTCACATTTTACTCTTTCACTTAAGATGTACATTCTTTATACACAGAGATAAACTGAAATGTGAAAATATCCCAGCCTGCTGACTATCTGAAGAGCCTCTCTTTTCAGCTGGATGAGGGGGCACTGTCAGAGACCCGTTAGAGAAGTGGTGTCCAAAGCAAGAGTGAGAACCTGTATCTCTCTTGATACTTAATGGCAAGAGACATTCATTCATCAAGAGTTGAATAAAGGTGATATTCTAATTGTCAATGGCATTTTTTTACAGAATAGAAATAACAATTCTAAAATTCATATGGCACCACGAAAGATCCCAGATAGTCAAAACAATGTTGAGAAAGAAGAGCAAAGGTAGAGGCATCGTACTCCTTAGTTACAAACTATATTATAAAGCTACAGTAATCAAAACAGTATGGTACTGGCATAAAAACATACACATAGATCAATGGAACAGAAATAAGAACCCAGAAATAAACCTATGCATATATGATCAAGAACATAATCACTCCAGGCCATCTCTAATCCCATTCATTTTACATGAGCATCAAGAATACTCAGTGGGGAAAACGTAGTGAAATGCAATTAAAAAACACAATAAGATATCACTTCACACCCATTTGAATCAGCCATCCGATCAGGTGTGAAGTGGTATCTTTTTTATGACCAATATTCCATTGTGTGTGTGTGTGTGTGTGCGCATGTATATCACATCTTGTTTGTTTATATATATATATATAAACATATACATATACATACATACATATATATAAACTAAATATGCTTTGTATTTAGTGTGTGTGTATTTTGTGTGTGTGTGTGTATACACACAAATACAAACAGTGGAATATTACTTGGTCATAAAAAAGAATGCAATTTTGCCATCTGCAACAACATAGATGGACCTGGGAAGTATTATGCTAAGTGAAATAAATCAGCAAAGAAAGACAAATACTGTATAATATCACTTATATGTGGAATCTAAAAAACAAAACAAACCAATGAATATAACAGAAAAGAAACAGAGTCACAGATATGGAGAACATACTAGTAGCTATCAGCAGGGAGAAGGAAGGAAGGGCAAGTCAAGAGTAGGGGATTAAGAGGTACAAACAACTATGTGGAAAATAAATAAGCTATAAGAATATATTGTCCAACACAGCAAATATAGCCACTATCTTATAAATAACATTTATAAGAGTATAACATTTAAAAATTTTGAATCACTATGTTGTACACCTGAAACTCAGATAATATTGTACACCAACTATATTGCAATTAAAAATAATCACTAAAATAATTACTAAAAGATGTTTTTCATAAAGCAGTAAATTAAGCAAAGAGAGAAGAATTAAGATGAAAAGCAGTAATAAGCATGCAATACGTTAATTATTTACATTAGAGAATACAAATAAGGACTATTAAAAATAAAATGTATGTATGAGTAATTTAAAAGTATAAAAATAAGGTTAAAACATTAAACAACAACATGAAAAGGGAGAAGAAAATTACTATAAAAAAACATTCCACAGTCTTTGTATTATTGGAAGAACATAAAGATGGTGATTAATTTTAGAGACATTTTTTAAGATAGGTTTACTGATTTAAAATAGATCATTGCTATAAGAACAAAAACAGAATGTGTAACTTCCAAACCAAAGGAAGCACAAACCATACAAGCAAAAATCAATAGATCAATCAATAAAATGGTAAATAAAAAGTACAAAAAATACTTTTAAGATTGAATTTTTAATCTGACAATAACCTATTTATAAGAGTGACAACAACACCTAAAGACAAAGAAAGGAGGGATATAAAAGATGAAAAAAATATGTCAATTCTAGCAAAGACTGCTTATTGTATACCCCAGTATACTCTTCTCCCATTTTTCTTTAGTAATGAGCCAGAGAACAGGGTTCCTGAAGCCTTTCACTCTATAGATGAAGCTCAGCAGTCCATTCACTAATGAGCTTTATCATTCCATATCTCTTAGCAGACATAAATACTGAGGCCTGTAAAGTAGATGTGCACTACTGGGCAGAAATACCTCCTGGTTTACACAGGGCTCTGATATGTGTGTGATTGTGTCCTTTAGCTTTGTATTTTAACACTGTAAGAGTGGGTACCTACAACTGGTGGCTCAACGGTAAAGAATCTGCCTGCCAAAGCAGGAGGTATGAGTTTGATCTCTGGGTCAGAAAGATCTCCTGCAGAATGAAATGGCAACCCACTCCCATTCCCATTCTTGTCTGGGAAATCCCATGGTGAGAGCAGCCTGGTGGGCTACAGGCCAGAGTGTCAAAAAAGAGTTGGACATGACTAAGCATTTAAACAACAAGTTTAGACTTATTACATCTTCCCGTTTCTTATCATTAGTGTTGCTGCTGCTGCTGTCACTTCAGTTGTGTCCGACTCTGTGTGACCCCATAGACAGCAGCCCACCAGGCTTCCCGTTGTAAGTAAGTGTAAATTTTAGTTGCTCAGTCATGTCCAACTCTTTGCGATCCCATTGTTAGGTAGTTGGAATGGGAAAAAGAAATCCAAAATGGTGGTGGCTAAAAGACAAAGAAGGGAAAAGCCCGCAAAAATAGAACAAAGGAAGTTCCAAGGACCAGAGTGAGGACCTCAGGTAAAACAAACAGCCCTCCTGGCTAGCCCAGTTTACATATCGCAGGCTCAGGGAGGAGACAAATGTATAAAAGGAGCAAGTCTATAAGGATTGAGGCCTCTCTTCTCTAGTCTTTTGGTTGGCCCGCCCTCACTCCTCGAGTGAGGGTGTGCTATCCTTTGTTTTTCCTAATAAAACTGAGCTATAACGCTGCTCCATCCATTGCTTCAAATTTTCCCTGTGGCAAGACAGAAGTGAGGAAATTACATGCTCCCGCAACATCTACGGTACCATTTCTCGGATTTAACCTAGCTGAAACAACCTCAGTTTGGCCCCACAAGGCGGAGGTGAAACACAGCAGAAGTCCAACTCGGCGAAAGCTTCTGTGGCAGAAGCTGAACTCAAAGAAAACCCAGCGCAGTGCCAGTGACAAGAAGCCCAGCGTGCTGGCAAATGGGACAGCCAAAACTAACTCAGCAGAAAGCTCACGCGGCTCAGGCTCAGACTCCAGAAGGCCTCCAATTAGAGTAAAAGAGGTCCTCGCTCCTATGACTGGAAAGACATAGGGCTAAAAAAATCTTAATTCCTTTACAATCTCTTGTTTCTTGTTTCCTCAAACCCCCTGTGAACAGGAGAGCGGCAGTGGGTGCAATTGAGGGACTCTGGAGAGGCTACTCCCCTGCATGTTCTGAAGGCTCCACTATCCTCTGCGCCTCAGTAGCTGTTGTCCAAGTGAGTGAGGGTTCTTCTGTCCTTAATCTTCTTTGTGCCAAGAATCAGGCCAATGAAAATTGTGAGCACAGGTCAGGTATTTAGCAGATTTTCTGGCAGGTTATGAAGGGGATTCCTCGGCATGTTTTTCCCACTGCTTTTTCCTCCCATCCTTCAACTCTTCCAGGACTTGAGCCCAGCCAAAACCCATGGTGTCTGGTTTCAAGACCTAATGAAGCTCAGGCTCTGATGTCTCATTGCAAAAATTCAGTTAGAGACACAGCAATAGGTAAGAGGTAGATTTGTTCAGATTCAGAGAGAAGCACATTCCACAGGGTGTGGGTCATCACAGAGGAGAGTACAGTGGCCATGGAATTGTCAGGCTGGGTGACTTCATATGCTAGTGAGTGGGAGGATCATTCCAACAATTAGGGAACCACCCATTCCTCCGTCTTTTGACAGTGCCTTGGAGCTGTCCTGGTGCCCCTGGGTATGTGTTTAGCTTGCAGATTGAGGATCAAGGTTTAGTTGAATCTGACTTGTCATCTTGGACCCATTTGATTTTTATCTGTTTATGTTATTCCCTTGGGCTATGTCATTCTCTCAAAGGTTGTGCCCTGCCCCTTCCCTCCCGTTTCATGCTCTTTTCCTGAGCCCTGTCTGGGCCCACAGTGTTGCCTTTACAATCTTCTTGAGGGACAACCAGAAAATAGCTGGCCCTGGGAGGGAAATACTGTATGATATCCAATCCCTCTAGATATTCAGGCCATCATCTTCCGTGTTTCCTAAACATGTGCAACAACAGCATCTCACAGTGAACCCGCTAGGGTGGGTGACAGGAACACAATGCCTGCTAGAAGTCCGTCTGTTGGTGGCATCG